AAGACTATAGTTGAAATAACAAAACCACCCTGTTGTGAGGAGGAGATGGTAAAGATGATAGTATAAGAAAAATGAGGCCCAGCTTTGAGAAAGGAAGACATTCGTAAACCAAGAGAACAGCCCTGGAATTAAAACCATCCTAGGTTTTGAGAAAGAGAACACATCTGAAAACAATCTGATACTTTTAAAAACTTACACCCTCAAACTCTAAGGTTTTAAGTTTCCATGTAGTCTCTCTAACGAGTCCACTTCCGCACCAAAGACTATCATCAACCTCAGATGAAGCCTGAGAGGCCATGATATGGACAATGGTTCACAAATTACGAAGAAGCACATTTGGCCCAGCTTGGTAAAACTTTAAAAAGGAACAAGCACCAGAGGTTTCTTGTGACATCGTGAGGCTCACCGTCCCTGAAGGCTCTGCTTTATATCTGGTGCTCTCTCTCACAAGAGCTGTCTAGGGATTCCTACAGGTGATGAGAGACTCAGCCATAGCAATGTCTAAAAAGTGCAGTTCTGTGGACCAGCTCTTATCTGGCCTCAACAAATCATGGAGGGGTAAGTCTTCAGAAATTTGAGAATTCTCCCAACACAATCTCAGAGAAAGTAGATATTGAGAAGCCAGGAGGATTCCAAGAGATTTTCTAATAATAATATTCCACTATAATGTTACCTGATCTAGAGTGGCCTGCAAACTATCACTTATCTGTCATTATGGAATGTACTTTTCCCTCCCTCCAAGTCAGGAGCAAGACACCTAGAGATGAGAATGTGGTGGTAAGTTTAAATGCTTATGGCGGAACCACTGCTCACTAAAGACATGGCTCAGATGTCACCATAGTCCTAGGCAGTGACAGTCTGATCTATATCTGTATGCACAAAAAGCCTCATTTCTGTTTAGACCCCTTTGTGCGAGGTTTAGTTACTTGCAGCCAAATGTAGTCTTCACTGATGTAGCATTAAAAGCCTCTTTTAAATGAAAGTTCTTGCAAAATCCTAATATAGGAAACAAAAATATCTGGGTACATCAGAAATTCAGACAGAAAGAATTCTAAAGTCATTCCATCTAAGATTTCCAAAAAGGATTCTTCTATAAATCAGAAACTGCACCTTGTAACACACACAACCACCCACCAGCAAGCCTCAGTTTCCCAAGGATCTGGGAGTCCTCTAGTTAAATTATTTTATTTGCTTCTTTATGCAGTCTGTTCTCTGAACTAGAGACAGCTTTAGCAACAAAGGCTCCTACCACACTGTATGCTCATCCTGGCCACAGCAATCCTATTCTTATGCTCATGAATAATGAGAAAGTACCAAAACAGCACATTTTTTTCAGGTTCAGCTCAAGAGACATCATGGCGCAGAAGCAAAAGTAAATTTCAAGAGGAAAAAAAAAAAAAAAAAAAAAAAAAAAAAAAAAAAAAAAAAAAACCCTTTTCCAGGACATGTAAGTATGAAAACACTAAAAATTAAAATAATCTCCAGGTTACTATTACTCCTTTATTTATGATGTAAACCATTTTAAAGTTCAGTAAAACATCTCTATCTCAGATCATTGTTAATAATCTGATTATATATTTTTCCTGTATTTAATAATTTGATTATATATTTTTTCTGTATTTAATAATCTGATTATATATCTTTTCTGTATTTAATAATCTGATTATATATTATTTCTGTATTTAATTTAGAAATTTCTGAGAGATTAGACACATAGGTATATTACAAACATTTCTCAAAAAATAATTTTTAACTTTCTTATGAAGACATGATAAGCTGTTAAAGGGATAGAAATGTTAATTAGCGCAAATGAATCTTCTAGTGTGTACACAGGTTTTTCTTCCGGAGTGTATTTCACTCTTTAAATACACACAATTATTTGTCAGTTTATATTTTTTTTTAAACTTTAGAAAAAGTTAAAAGATTGAATAAAGAGATAATCACTGTGTGAGTTTTCTCTGTTTGTACATATTTTAAAAATAATTAAGTCAACAAAGAGACATCAGTCTTTCTTCACCTATTAAAAAGGGCCTGTATGTTACTGCAAGTCAAGAAATCCTGAACTGGAGGACAGCCCGAATCGCTTCCAGCTGCTCAAGTCTGAGATTCCATCTTATAAAGTTAGTGTGACTTTCATCAATGTGGTAACTGACTTTATTTTTCAACTTGCCTGGGATAAGGGGTTCCCAGATAGCTGGTAAGCATTATTTAGAGGTAAGTCTATGAGGACATCTCCAGAAGAGACCAGCATATGGATCAGTACACTAAGAGAAGAGGATCCTCACCATGTAGGTGGATGTTACACATTCAATTGAGGGTTCAAACTGAGTCCACAGAGGCGGAGAGAAGGCCAATCGTGTTCCTGCCCTTGAGCTGGCACATACTTCTCAGATTCCAGAGCTGACCTCCATGTGGCCCCTACCACTGTTCCCTCTCCGGCTTCTTCAATGCTTAGGTCCTCTGCTACTATAGTTCTGTCATCTCTCTCCTAGTGTCCAGGCCTTCAGACATGGACTGAATGATACCACTGCGCTTCCTGGGTCTTCTAACAGCTGATTTTCACGGAATCTCTTGACCTCCATAATTGTGTGAGTCAATAACCATAATAAAGTTCTCTTTTATGTATGCTGGGTGGTCTGTTGGTTTTGTTCTTTGCAGAACCTGTCTACAACAAAAATGCAGTGACTGCTCTTAGAGATTTTTATTTTATTTAAACAAAAATAAATAAAATAAAATTTATTCTTTATGAGAATAAAACAAAATAGCCCCATCTTCTCTACCAAAAGTCTGCCTCACTAAAATGACCACAGGCAGGGTTTGGAACAACAAGCTTCACTGAGAGTTGTCACCCACCTCCTCCCACCTGGTCCCTTCACTCATGGTCTATAGCAGAAATATCTCGCCAAGAAACAAATACCGGTTAAAAATAAGGCCTGGAAGAATTTGCTCCCTGCCTGCCTGGGAAACCTGAGCCCTGGGGTGGGACTGTTCTTACAAACTGTGTTTTCTGATTACTTCCAGAAGGCACAGCAGGACAGGCTGACCATCCCTCTCCCACCATGAGCAGAGGAAGAGGATCTTTTGCACTGGGATTCTGGTTCACCTGCACACTTGGAGCCCAACAAGCCAGTGCCTGGTGGGTTTTCTTTCCAAAAGGCACGCTCCATTCCGGCACACAGGTCTCCTCCCCGGGGCTGCCCTGCTTAGTCTGCGGTCTGGCCAGCCTTCCTTCCTCACTGCCTCCAATTCTGCCCAGGATTTCTTGTTTCCTATCCTCCTTACTGCTTTTATGTTTTTCCCTTTCAAATGTCAAGGGAGTTTGGTATTTTCTCCTTATTTTTAACAGAGAGGAACAGAGTTTCTTCTAAGTTCCATCCACCCTTCTCCATAATCCTATAACCTGGAGTTACTGTTTCATGCCTCTTTTTGCTGAATGCTTGACAAGCACTAAATGTAGAGGGGTGTGACATTTGAGCTCACTCAAGTCTCCTGTTTCACTGGTAGTGGGCTTGGCTCTGGCTCATGTCAACTCTTAATCTGCATGGGCCTTAGGGAAAAAAGTCCCAGTCTGCCCTGACATCTAAAAGCATTGCGTGCTTTGTAGGGAATCCTGCAATTCTAAAGCCTCTGCATCTACCTTAGCCTAGCACACAAATGAGCTTAATAAAGAAAACTTCTGCGAGCTAGCACTAGAACAAAATATCCTATTCCCAATCATACACCATTTCCCTCCTCTGTTACAAATGTGCACAGAAAAAATAATTGCTGGGTAACAATCCTGATCTTCTACCAACAGGACAAACTTCTGGCTACCCACCCTAGGTCTACACTGACAAAGAAGATACCTCAGCCGTACCTATACCTGCCCCTTAAACTCAATCTGTCACTATGAACTACATGTCTAGAGATTTCAAAACAGTGACAAAAAGTCACATGTTGTCATAGAAATTCACCCCAAAAGGTCCAGTCATTAGCAATAGTGAAATTTAATAGTTATAATTGAGCTGAACCAGTCTCTTAAACTCTATTGCACTGTCCTGTGCAAATAGTCTAAATACTAAGTCTAAAAACTAAGTGCTCAAAAAATGTGTCTTAGAAGGTAAAAAAAAAAAAGTTGTATTACAAAATATGCTTAAGGAAAAAGTAACAATGAAAAGGAAAACAAATCCCAACCTGTGCTGATAATTATTTAAAATTGTTTTAAAAGCACTATTTTCATAGGTGTAAAATAAAACCAACTGATTAATAAAATAACACACCTGTCTACTTTTTTAATAAGGACTTTGAATGAATTACTGCTTTCTGTATGGTCTTAGAACAATGACAGTTTCAGAGGAAAACTGTAACTGTTCCACGGAAAAAGCTGGAAACGATTATAGAAACCGAATTACAATCCAGCACATTTCTAGGCAAATATACTGACATCCAAGCCTCCCCAGAATGACAGTCAAAATCCCATATCCAAATAAAAGACGCCAGGAATTTATACCCATGAATCTGCTTCTACACACTGAAGTGTGATCCAAAACAGAAACTTCCAACTCTGATTCCCTCCAAAAACGAGAGCCATTTCCTGCTAAAACACCCCCTTTTAAACTCTTCCGAAGCAAAGGAACACAGATAATTCCATGTAGCGTTAAGTTTACTGCCAATGAACAGTCCCTTCATGCAGGAAGGAAAAGTTACAGATGGCTGGAGCACACTGACAGCACAAGGGAGCCCACGTACTTTTCCTTTTCACCACAGTGTCAGCAGCTAACTCCTAACTTTCAAAAGTGCCCCTGCCTTGCTGAAAATCGGATCTTGAAAGGGGCTGGGGAAAGCGGGGAATAGAACTCCTCACTGAATGCTTAAATGATTCAGTTCTAACTTGTTAATTAACACACACACACACACACACACACACACACACACACTCAGATCGCCTCAAGCAAACCACAGGCACCGAGCTTAGAAAGTGCAGTGAGGCACAGAAATGCAAGAACTGAAAGGTATCCTACCTCCTCTCCTTCACAAAGCTGCCGAGGGCGACCCCCGCGGTCCTGGGTGCGCTGGGCAGCTGGGAAGGAGGCAGCCACTCAGCCTGCGGAGTGGGAGCAGGCCCTGCCTGTGTTCAGAAGCTGCCCCAGTCAGATTTTCCAACTGCAGAACTGTAGCCAAGTCCCTGCCCATGCCTGAAGAATTTCCTGAACAGCATTCCCGTTCTTTTTCGGGCTGCTTTGAAACCCTACTCTGTCTATACTTCAATCTGGCTTTAGCAGGCTGGCTCGCAGCTACTGGCCTGTCTCCAGCTATCCGCGGGAAACATATGTGTCAAGGGACAGCCTCGCTCGCTGCTGCCTGCAACAGTGTTGCTCATGGCGTCTGCTGGGCTCCTACACATTGCAAGGAAAGGGCTTTCAGAGCGGACTGGGATCGCTCAGCCATTCTCCACGCAGGCCCTGCTCTGGGATGCCAGATGCTGGAGATAAGTCCCCTCTCTCCTCAGCTCCACGAGGCCCCTTTTTAACTTGCTCCTGCCACCACGTGGAGTCCCCAGCTGACCCCTGTTAGCCCTGAGAGCGCTTGCCTGACTTGATAACGAGCTTATTACAGCTGAAAGATATGAATTCTAATTTGATCTCCCTTACCTGCCGCTTCCTGAGTCTTTGCTCAAAATTTCAATTGCTGGAGGGGGAACAATATTTTTAGCATTTCCAAACTGGAAATGCTAAAATTCTACAGAGCTATCCCCTCAACCATAGTACACCTATGGTTGCAGTAACTAAAAATAACACAATTATTTTTCAGGCACTTTGGTTGCTCTCTGCTTTGTAACTGTGCCGGTCCAAAATGTAACATTTTCCAGGTTGTTAAATGTGTGTTATGGGGATAGGAAGCACAAAAGAGAAAAAGAAAGTATGTTGCATTGGATTGCCTCCTGATTCTGAGCACCTATGTTTACTTCTGGTTGGCACATCCTCAGGATGTCCTGTACCTTCCGCTGGATTTTGTGATTTACCTTTGACATTTCCCCTTTTCCATTAAAAAAAGAGGAAATCTCAAGTCAGGAGAGGAAAACACCCCTCTTTTCACACACTAAAAATGCCTCCTAAGTAAAGCTAAATCATCAAAGTAACATCGCAGAAATGAGATGATTTAGAGACAGCAGGGTTTGTTCTGAGTGTTTACATTTTTTTGGTATTACGATTTTATTTCCAAAAATCATAGCCCACTAGCAACTTAAAAACCAAACCCCTGGATTTGCCAGATTTAAAAAATTCATGTATTCCTAATGGGCTGCTGTAATTAATAGGATTAGGTGGGGTCGTGGGCTTAGCGTGGATTTTAGTGGGTACTTTCAGAAAGATTAGATTTTTTTCTTGTGAAGCTCTGTGCGTGTGTGTGTGTGTGTGTGTGTGTGTGTGTGTGTGTGTGTTGTACATCTAAGGTCACGGATGCAATTATAGAATCAGAGAACTTTAGAATTGGAAGGAACCTCAGAGACCAGTCAATCCAAATTGTTTCCAACCTTCATCTTACACAGGGAAACGGAAGCCAAGAAAGATGAGTTGCGCAGTTACAAAGACAGTAAATGCAGAGCTATGGCTAAAAAAGGCAATAGTACCCCTCCTCTATGTGTTTTCTCTAGTTCAGCATAATCTGTGAAAGTAATGTAATCCACCCTTCAGCTAGGGCTTTCAGCCAAGCAGCCTACGTCTCATTTCTTTCCTTCTTACTGGCTGTGAACTCTTATGGTCTTGTTTAACTTCTCTGCCTCTGGGTTTCCTCATCTGTGAAATGGGAACAATAGCAGATTTTTACCATATCTTCAGTCTCAGTATCCACTGAGATAATCCATGGAAACTGTTTATGACAGTGCTTATAACTCAGTTTTACATTTTAAATGAAGCACGTTAAAAATCAATGGAAAACTGCCCTCTCCCAACTAGTAAAGAGTGCTAGAAAAAATATTTGAGTGGTTAGTTACATTTGCTCCTGCCTTACCTTTACATAATAGACACATATCACCTTAAATACAAGGAAGTGTCCTAAAGACTTAGTGGAACTCTAAACCAGTTACATCACTAATTGTTATTTATTCCCTAAACATAATACTGACGCCTTTTCCTCAAGATTAACTCACAGGAAAGGAGAACATGGGGGTCAAATCTACTGTCAGTGATGTGAGGCTGAACAGAATACCATCTGCAGAGCTGGACTTTTCCTCCACACATTTCAGCCTTAGAAATAAAAATAGAAGATCACTGTGATTCCAAGCTTCAGACATGCAGTGTCCTAACTTAACAACAGTAGCAGCAAAATAAAACCCTAAAAACTGAGAAAGAAAATGTTTGGGAAAAAAAGGACTGCTACAAATTCTGGAGGATCAGGTTTCTTTCTATGTAATCTGGGGTTCCGCAGTCTTTGTCTCAGAGCCAATGGTACCAAGTGGTTAATGAACCATTCACTTTGTATTAGCCATGTTTGCTGTGTCCAGCTTCCTTCAGGGAAACAAAAACAGTAGTTCAAGTAATTCTTAGTTTCCAGTGAATTACAAATGTTTAGGCAATCAAATAAAAAAATCACTGGAAAATCCAAGATCAGAATTAACACAAAAGAAAAACAGTGCTATGACCTAAATCACTCCCACTGAGCCCCCCAAAGTCTGTCTACGCAGCAGTCTTCAGCAGGGGTATCTGAAGAGAAAACCTCAGCAAGACATCCTGCATCTAGATAACTAGCTTGAAATCCCAGGAAAATGACTTAGTTCTTTTCATGTTTAGATGTATTATCGAACACATGAAAATAAGACCCAAGGTTGTCATGTTAGTTGATGTAATATGTGAGAATTGTGTAATAGAGCCTCTCAAGAAGTATTAGACTCAAGAATATGTGAACTCACTGTTCACTACTGAATACTGGTCCCAGGCTTAGTAAAGTTAAATGATTAACATGGGGAACATTTTGTCAGGTAAAGATAAAAAATAACTTATTTATAGTTGCTATGGCTTGTGTCTGGATGTTTCCCCAAAGACTCATGCAGTCATAGAGACTGAGCTTTTCAGAGGTGACTGAATCCAGAGTTTGTGATTGATTCATGGTCCTATGCTGGGATTATGGGTATAAGTGCTATGCCTGGCCTAGGGTGGGAAGCCTACATACAATGCATACTATAAAAGGGACACAAAAATCTGTCTGTCTCTTTCTCTCTCTGTGTCTGTCTTGTTTGCTCTTGCTATATTCCATTGCCATGAACTGTTGCTTCTTTGCCATGTGCCCCCCTGCCTTGGATTATAAACTGAAACCCCTGCAAAGTGTGAACTAAATAAACCTTTCCTCCCTTAACTTTGGGCATCAGATATTTTGTCTCAGCAAGAAAAAGTAAGACAGTAGAAAAAATAATGTGACAGTCCACTGTACTATAGGATATCATTTGTTTTGTATCACACCTAGGAATCTCATGCTAACATTTCTTCATTAATATATGTAAATGTTGAGCTCTTCAAAAACTGTTGGAACCAGTCTTACCACTATGCCAATTCTCTCATCAATTAGTGAGTCAAATAAAATTCTTGACACTTAATCGTGATTTTCAACTTCATAAAAAAGTAATTGACAATGTTGCATTCTCTCCATTTGTATGATTTCTGAGTGTTATGTGAAAATAATCATCCTAGGACATGGAAAGACACTTATTACATGCAAAGTATACAGTACAGAGTCAATGCCCAGTGTTAAGCACTGCTAGTATCCACTACTCTACTACTTGGCTTGCAGTTTTGCAAAGAATACCAGAGATCACTCATCAGTCTCTCTCCTAGCACTGCTCATCATCTTTGATGGTAGATATTTTTAAAGAGGATAAAACCAATCACAACAAATGAGTATAAGAGATACAGGACTTCAAAACATTATGATATCAACAATAGTTTCCATAATACCTTTTGATGTCTTCAAAATAGCTGCAGACAAATTCTGTCATAGTAAAAATCAAACAGAACAGAATAGAACAGAAACAATAAAAAAATGAATGCAATAAAGGACTTCAAAACAAGCCAATAGTAAATCCAAAATGCTTACCATAATGCATCTTGCCATCTTTGAAATAGCTGCTTTTGCCATTGGATTTGACACAATCAAACAAAGCAAAAGAGAATAAAATCCAACCCAACAAAACAATGGAAACAGAACTTCAAAACAAGACCATAAGGCTGCAAACCTCAGAAGCAGAGCCCCCCCTAGATGTTACCCTGTATACTGCTATCCTCTGAACCTAAGATCAACCACTAGCCCTAGACCTGCAATGTTAGGGTAACACCAAAGCTCCACAGACATCCAATTGCATTTCACCTTGATAACTAGTATCATAGCCTGTGGTTTTTCTGATAATCCAGTTGCTTACGTGGTGGGGTGTGATTGGTACTTCTTGTTCGCTAGTCTGTGGGCTGGAAGGGGCTTGGGTTTGGCTGTTCTCAGTCTAGTAAGAGCCTGCACATGGAGCTGGTTCCCAGACTGACCTTGTTTGCTAGTGTGGCCTTGTTCTCTCTCCTCCCAGCCTACGGGTGTCAGTAGATTCTTGAATCTTCTTTTTATAAGCCACTCCTTCTTTTGCTTTTCAGAAACTTTTTTTTAAGAGTTTCTTAAAATTACAATGGCAATATGTCTTAGATACAAAGCTTATTGTTGCTAGTCACAGAGTTCAATTAAAATATTTGGTTCTGAGGATTATATCAGCCAGAGAATTTCTTTCTTCACTAGAGTACAAACCCCATGAAGCAAAGATTTTTTGTTTTTGCTTAGTTTCCCACCATCTTTAAGATCCCTAGGGTTGCTATATAGTAAGTGTTTCTATTTACTCTTTGAAAAAAGACCAACTTTGACTTACTTGAAACAAAGATTCCTATGTCATTCCTTTATAAAGAATTATTTTAACCACTGTTTAAACATATCTGGGGTTACTGTATCCATTCTATCTGAGATGACTGAGATTATGGCTGTGATTCTTTTTTATCAACAGGTATGACTTTTCTCTGGAATAATTCCAGTTTGATTTATTTCCTACTTAGATGTACAAAGAGTTAAACAAACTTTTCAGGTATGTTGGGTGTGATGTAGGGGAAGAGGAAGAGACCCTTCTCTTTCACACTCTACCGATGACATTAGACTTTTGGCCATCACCAGGAGTTATTCTAAGACAAAACCTCTTGGCCTCCTCTTCCATAGGTGCTCCTTACTAAGCTACATCTTCTGCACCATTAACATCTGCGATTCTCAAGCCTTCCTTTATATTAGAATCACACTGGAAAGTATTGAAATTGGCTAGACCAGGATTCAACAAAGGAGATACTGATTGTGTTGAAATGGGAGGGCAGAGAGGAAATAGTGATTTTTTTCAACACGCTCTCAAATTATTTGAACGTTTCATATTTAAAAACTGCTAAACTGCAAACTCTGTTATAACATAAACCTAATTTTGCCACTCCAAGATAAACTCTTTACAT